AATTATATTATGTTCTGGTCCTCAACCGAGGCTTATATTCAATAATATTGGCACAACTGAGTCGTGTGGACGACAGCTCCTGATTGTTGACAACTATAGATCGGTTAATAATACTGTTTTGTCCGCAAAGTGGCAGAAAAGTATCGGTGAAGAAGTATTTGCCGATATCGAGTTCGCCCTCTTCTGACACTTTATAGGGAGGAATATCTATAAATCCCAACTTTGAGGCCATGTCTCCCAATTGGCACCGGAATGGTGTATATTGAGTGCAATCGCGTTCATAAACACAATCGCTTGAGATATTGTACGGATTGAAGGGATCGCCAGCGGATTTACACTCACTTGTACTCCAATTCATATTGCCTTTAATCATATTGTAATCATAAAAGAATTAACATTTAAAACAATTAGTGATATTTGAATACCTGGACTAATTTGATTGACGTGTAGACGCCAGGAATGGTTGGATGTTTTGGCCGCGTTATCGTCGCCGGGTTTGGAGATTTCGATGTATACATAAGTATCTGAACTGCAATTATCTGTTGGCTGACGAAAAATAAACTGTCCCTGAATTGGGTGATCAAATGTGGCGAAAGCTGTGGTCATGTTTACGTCTTTGAGTTCAATGTTTGAACAGCCGATTGTCGTTCCCTCTGGACTGTAGAAGACTAGCGCTCTTCCGATAACAGAGTCGCGGCCAAAGAGTGGCAAATTAAAGTCGGTTAAAGTGACCACTTCTGAACTCTTATCGGCTAAGTTGCCGTATTTGCCGCTCAGATCGCCGATCGCGTACTGGTCTGTAGTTCCCTGTCCTTCGGCGGGAACGGAGTCGGGATCGATATTACGTGGATTGAAAATAATGCTATTAATGTTGGGACAGTCTTTGTTTGACATCTCTTTAGTTCTAACAATTTTGGGCAATTCGTCGATTCCATAGCTATAAGCGGTTCTAAAGAGCTCTATATTGATGTCGACAATAGTTGGGTCGAGTGGTGTCTCTTGACTCAACTCAACCGATCCCTTAAGCATCGGGTAATTGAATTTAGCCGAAGCTATTCGTGTGTGTATTCGTCGAATCGGTGCACAACTTAATATATTACCAGAATTTTCATCAGAATATATAATTAAATAAATCACTGGCACTATATCTAGAGGTAAAACATTATCAATGCTTTTAAATGTTTTGCCATCAGTGGTATAGGGATCGGATCCAATGTTAATAGTGCCCGGAATTAACTAAAAAAGATTAATGTTAATAATCATTGATTACTAAAAGGAGTTAACATAACCACAAACCATATCTTTTAAAAAGGGTCGCCCAAGAAATGATTGACATTTGCTATTCTCGTGATTATTGCGTGCGCTTTCATTATCATCGCTATGGGATCCGACCATTACTGAACTCTTATCGGCTAAGTTGCCGTATTTGCCGCTCAGATCGCCGATCGCGTACTGGTCTGTAGTTCCCTGTCCTTCGGCGGGAACGGAGTCGGGATCGATATTACGTGGATTGAAAATAATGCTGTTAATGTTGGGACAGTCTTTGTTTGACATCTCTTTAGTTCTAACAATTTTGGGCAATTCGTCGATTCCATAGCTATAAGCGGTTCTGAAGAGCTCTATATTGATGTCGACAATAGTTGGGTCGAGTGGTGTCTCTTGACTCAACTCAACCGATCCCTTAAGCATCGGGTAATTGAATTTAGCCGAAGCTATTCGTGTGTGTAATCGTCGAATCGGTGCACAACTCAATATATTACCAGAATTTTCATCAGAATATATAATTAAATAAATCACTGGCACTATATCTAGAGGTAAAACATTATCAATGCTTTTAAATGTTTTGCCGTCAGTGGTATAGGGATCGGATCCAATGTTAATAGTGCCCGGAATTAACTAAAAAAGTTTAATGTTAATAATCATTGATTGCTAAAAGGAGTTAACATAACCACAAACCATATCTTTTAAAAAGGGTCGCCCAAGAAATGATTGACATTTGCTATTCTCGTGATTATTGCGTGCGCTTTCATTATCATCGCTATGGGATCCGACCATTAAAGTCCATTTGTTTGCCGAAGATTTTCTGATTTGATTGGAGTACGAAAGGCTTGACACCAAACCCGTAATGTTATTGCATTGAATCAAATATATTGAGCCCTCAATCGGTGAATGAAATTTCACTTCAAATGTCTTTTTCGATCCAAAGGGTAATATCATAGCGCAAGAAACGGATCCGTTCTCAACATTCCTCAGCATTAAAGTCCGACCGATTAAAGTATTTTCACCGCTAATTGACTTGAATTTGGCTGTGAATACATTTTCGCGGCCGATCTCTATGGGACCCAAAACGGCCGTCAAGTCTAAGCTCAGTGCCGATGGACTCATCTGTGGACACGAATTATCGCCAGACATTCCGGCAGTGCTTCCATAGACTTTCCAATCGTATCGCTTGTCATTTGCACCCAAAATGTTGGCTCGAATTGAAGTAATTCCGTTGTTTTCAACGAACAGCACATATCCTCGCAATCCATTTGACTGTATATTTGCGATCAGACTTTGAGAGAAGTCCAACACATTGGTTGACGACGGGTTGGATGTGTTGGTTGACAACCGTTGACTGTCTATTACTTTTAAATTTACTTATTTAGTGAACAATACTCTTTGAAATTTTTGAATATTTATATTTATTCGTTCAATTAAATTAATATTAGTTAAATCTAAGTTTACGTTATATTGGTTTAACATTAATCTTTTATTATAAATACATAAATATTAATTCAAAGCTTTAATTTGAAAATTGGGTCACAAATGCAAAGTAAACACAATTCAACACA